CACCAAAGGTGTTTCAGTCCTGCATATGCTGCTCGGGCCTTGGAAATGCGGGCGGTTATCTCCGTCATTGGTCACGCAACTACCTAAGTAGGAAAAGTAATCTACTACACTTAACTCCCGGCCATTTAGTTTCAGAGCAGGAGTAGACGAAACCAAGTCCTGACGAAGTTTACGGATATGAAGAGAAAGTCGTCGAAGCTCACTGACGATGTGTTGAATGTGAGAGGTCCAGTGAAGATTAGTATCAATAAAAACGTCCAGGTATTTAATACAGTTTACCCGGGATACTGGTTCGGAACCAATCGATACCGGTTTAGACGGGAAAGAAGAGCGTGATGGTGTAGAGACATTCAAAACATTTGGAGGTGGTCCAATAGGACCTGCGATTTCGCACAGAGGCACGCCAACGGTCGCTTACTGTTATGTGGACGATTTGAGTTAGCATACTAGTTGAACTATAGCGCCATGTTGCAGTCCGTCGAGAGCTGTGTCGGAAGTTGGTGCTAGATAGGAACAGATGATGATCCGTGCAGAACTGAAGTCAATCACCGTTATCTGTTCATGGACAGGGTAGAACACAACCTCCGCCTAGACAAGCTTCTGATGCGCTCGGTTTTCCAACTTGAGCGTTAAAATCGCCTGCGTGAACAACTATGTCGGAGCTTCTACCCAGCCGCATGAGATCGACGAGTTCATCGTAGAAAGCGTCCTTTTGGGTATCAGAACTGCAATTGGTCAGTGCGTATGCCGATACAATGAACAAGCGCCTTTTGGTGTTCCGGAAGCTGATTGAATCCTGGAGACGGATTGCACATAAACGACCGTTGACGGCGATCCAGTAGACAAAGGAGGGCTCCGCCCTAATACTGAGTACAATACACACCACGCACTGACCTACTGCACGGGCTTCATCGTCACCTGATGTGCGAAGAACGTATCTCGTTGACAAATCTGGTGCGCTCAAGTGGCTTATAGAAGTAGGATCATGGATTCGAGTTTCCGATACACAGCAAATATTGATCCCCAAGAATTCCATTATTGAGAAAACGAGTCGGTGAGCGAACAATTGTTTTCGGATATTCCTAGTCATGCTCTTACATATCATATGTTGGAAAAAATTCTTACATAATCATAGCCATTGGCTCATTTTAAAGTCAATATTCGGGGGTGTAGAGTAATGGGAGTGTGTTTGTGCAGGAATGTTTAACGTGTTAGTTGATGTGACCTTTCCCCACTTGGGTCAAGTGACACGTCATGTTCTATCTTGGTTTTCACACACGGCCAAGGCAATTGGAGCGCCTGCACCAATCGCTTTTGGGCACACAGGTCGAGGCCTAGTAAGTGAATGGCGATTGCCTCGGCCATAGCTAGTGTCCAAACTCGGGCCGCTATCTGGTTTGATACCGTAACAAAATGATTTGCAAAAGGTTTAAATTTGTTTCTGTTCCGCGCATAGATTTAAACGAGCTACTGTGTGACCGTCCTACACGCAATAGCTTTCAATCAATGATTATGTTACGCCCAAGCTTTCTTGGATCTAGTTTAGTCGTAAGAATTTTTGCAGTAAAAACGTAAAAGCCGAAATAGTTATGCAAACAGATTTGGTAATTACAATCAAAAGGCAAGAATCTGTTGCGTTATTAGGAAAGTGTGACTTTATAAGAATCATTAGTATTTAACCGATGATTTATTCTGGACCAAACAAATTGAGGACGTTCGCAATTTGTCTGACGATGGCGAAAAAAAACTGTAGCGCCTCTGTACCTTTATGCTTTCTCTGCTGGAAAACTATTTCGAAAAGAACAATGGAGTTGCATAACATGGGATCTTTAACCGTTACTTCGGTTCTTTGAAAATATATTTTGTTGATCAAAGTACTTCCATAACAATCTTGTAAAAGGTAGCATCGTCCTACTTCTTCATCAGTGAAAGCAGTGATTCTTTTTTCTAATGCCTTTCACAGGTACTTTTGAGTTGCTCATTTATACCGATCGGAACACGCCGATTCCAGAAGGTTGGGATGAGAGTGGACCACAGTTCATCAACAATTCGGCCGAAATAAAGATGCGCTCATTCTCCACCACTGTGCATCGAGTGGATCATGTCATATCTTATAAGCTCACTTCTTGAAATTGGCCCCGTTGGTACATTAGGCACTATCCTACGCGTCCGGACTACCATTCCATCTTTGCCTAATGAGCTTTCCCCGTTTGCATTTTGTACATTTCGATGCGACCCTATTTGCCTTCGGTTGTTTATTTGTCGAACATGATTGAATGCTTCGACGAAAACATGGAGCGTCTCTACTAGTCGGCAGGTATTCTAATCTGTCATATACTCATAAAACAGAATAGAATTTTTATGCAATTTTGCTAATTTTTACAAAAGAAACTCGATCGAACGATTGTATTTCTACATAGAGTCTATACAAATCTATTGGTTATCGCATTGCAATTTTTTCTTCACCTCACAAATGAAAATAGTTTTTATCTATGACGATCCTCACATGAATCATGAACTCCTTTGATGGCTACCGTATGTGTGGGCAAAGCCAAAAACTATGAAGCATCGGAAATTGTTTTGTTTCAATAGGGTTATTTCAGAGACTGAGGTGCTGATGTAATACAAAACATCAAACTTTGTTGCTCGGGCTTACGAATTTCATTTTGAATCAAAGCTTAGTTATGGAAATGACTACAAGCTGTTGCTCTTCTTGTCCCATGGGGTTTTTGGCACAACAGAATCGATTGAACGAGCAAAAAGAAATGTGGAATGTCATTGTATCGTGTACTGCTATGCTTGGTGAAATTTAGGACGATAATGATTCATCCCACTTCTGCTTGAAAAAATTCATTGTGGGAACAAAAACAACGTGAACTGGTGGGAAATTCCAAATGCAATTAAGTGACGAAGGAATTCTAGTGGACATTTTCGGGGCGAAGTTTAGGTGAGCAATGGACGACATAGATGGTTAGAATTATGCATTATTTGATACACCGTAATCAGGTCTTTTGAACTTCGACGGTATTGGGTGGAACACAACCCCAGTGATCTCAATTCTAAAATGAAATCCCTTGATCTCCTTTGGTTGTTCCAAAATCTTACGGTCGCTTTCCAGCCCTGGATTCCACACTGGAATAGTGTACTCAGTGTGGGGTTTAATGTAGCCTGATAACAATATTGAAAACGACACAGATTCAAATTTGTTAAAGGCTCGTTTTGGCGAACCGACTTATCAGCTGCAGAAAACACCCTGGCGCAGTTTGTGGAACAGCTTAGGTCGTCTTGAAATATGACTTCAAGGTTCTCATCCGAGCACATGTAAATTGTCCGAGGAAGTTCAGAAGCAGCTTTGTTGCGAAGGAACACTACCGTAAATTTCGTTGCATTGAATTCGATGCCATTTTCGATCGATTGATTAACTGTACTGTGTTTTCTGAAGTGCTAATGAGCCCTCAGCTTTTGTCAAAGTATTGCATATTTTTGCGTCATCTGAAAACATAGCCTTTTTTCATTTTTACTTCCTTCCATTAAATACACGGTGATACAATTCTCAGGAAGGGGGAAGCAGCCAATCAAATGGCTGCCATACAACACACAAATGGGGAAAGTGAGGTCGTTCTGGTGGGATTCAAACACTCGTCCGCGGGGTGATAATTTGGTGATGTTACCACCGGGCCACCACCGCTCCCGTCCGTTAGACCATTCATGAAAAGAAGTTTAGGGCCATACACGGATCCCTGAGGAACTCCTCGGGCTACACTGATACGACCAGCTAGTGACCCGGAAACCCGAACTACCAAGGTACTTCGTCGAAGGAATTCTTCTATGCAACTCAACTCAAGTTCCCGTATTCTAAAATAGTAAATTTTCCTCAGCAGTATTCTTACACGAATAAATATCTTAACAATTTCGAGGGACAGCAGGTTCACTGCATCACCATGATCAGCTAATTTTGTTCATTCTTTTCAGGCTTGAAGCAGATCAGTAGAACACGACTGCTAGCAACCAAATCCATATGTCGGTGTGAGATAACATGCATTTTTTAGAAGAGATCCATGACGTTGCAAAAATGGATTCCACGACTTTGGACAATACAGTAAAGAGAGCGATGGTGATTGACCGGGTCACTACGAGAGCCGCCCTTGTATGCATCCTAGATTATTCCTTCGATCCATATTTCTAGAAGCACAGTATTGTCGTATATACGTTGAAATGGTTTATTCAGTGCCTCAGCGATTTTATTTGCTAGACTGATAAAGATAAGTTTTGTCTATCCCTGGGGATCAATATTATTTTAAACACCGAGGTTTTGATGTTATGTTTTCTGGGGCAAAATTGATGGTAGTTAGCGTTGGATGTGGTGTGTCCTCCAGTGACTACGGAAGTCCTAACCCGACGTTAGCAGGTGCAGTGAAAAAAATTGAGCGTTATTACTTTCTGCCATTTTGGCTGCCTCGTTTGTTGTGACTGAAGCACGTCTTGACAAACTTAGCACTTGATCACCAATCTTAACTTTCTTCATTGGGTTACACCACTTTTTTGGAAATGTTTGGTCCCCAGATTAGGTGATCAATTCAGTGATTGAGACGTGGCATCTGTTTGCTTTAACTGAATCATTCGGTTGAAAATTTGCCTTGAGAACGTTTACCCGCTGTAGCCAAAATGTCAGTTCGACTGAAAATACTGTTATTGGCAAACACCATTGTTCTCATAATGTACCTCATGTTGCATCGTGTTTCGATACACCCCGAATCCTGTTCGGTTGTTGTACGGTCTATTGTCGCTCTAGTTTAAGGTCATCAGTTAAGTGTGTATTGTATTCGCTGGGATTTCAATTTTACAGGAAAGAATTCCCGAAATCTTATACACTGAAATTTCGGGTTGATTTTGCTACCCCAACTAGTGAATCGGATCTGTGTTTAGCTTATTCACAAAGAGGTGACACCCATGCAAAGCCTTCGATGATTCTGAAATTGGAAAATACAACGATTGCCGAATTTGTTCTGCCATCTCATTTTGAAGATTGATAACTCTCCTGTTTCGTGCCGCAACGTTACATTTTTCACTAAAGATATGATAGGGTTTGCTTCTTTTGCAATGGTAGCCAAGTGACGAGTTAATTTTAATATTGATTGCTCACATTCTGCACTTAATTCAAACCTTACTAATTTAATTTTGTGATGAGAGAAAGTTCAGGTTGTTCGATTATAAATGTGAAATGGGACCGAGTCTGGGAAGCGTAATTGCAGTAACGTACACCCGACAGTAGCATTTAATTTTCAGGCTTCTGCACTGAAGTAGCCGGTTATCCTGTAAAAAACAACGTACTAACAGACCGTTCACTCCCTCAGGTCGACCTTACGATTTAAATGATGCACCTGTTTCTTCATTAGCAGTCCTTGCTTTAGAGGAGTCCATCCCGATTATTTTTTACGCAGACAAACAGGAGCCATTTAACCAATTATTCAATGGCAATCCACTTGGTGTGGAATCAACGCGCGAATCTGATCGGCTTATGAACTGTTCTATACTTTTGTGACACCTGCTTGACTCCAAGATTGACCTCTGTTACGAACCAAAATAAGTTGAGCTTATCTGGGCAGTAGTTGGCCGACAATATGAATATTGAAATAAATTAACTTTGGCACATAGACAAACACGGTCCCAACGCCATAACAATAATAGGAGGCTGGTGGGTTGGAATACAGACCAAAGAAGTGGAATGAAGGTGAAAATACTAAAATGGAAAATCGTACATAACTGGGATAACCACATTTTTCTGTGTTTCATCGTGCACTTTTGATACGTTTTGTGTTGATATTTAGGGGGCACAGAATTTCGACAGGCAGACCGTATAGCTTCCTCGCCTCTGACTTCTATTCTGTGCCATATCTCTCAGCGTCTCTAACCAACGACAATCCTTATCCCTTGGGCCCCAACCTGGAAGGCGG